CTGGGAGTTGAAATCCGGATATCTTAAAGGGAATTCTGGGAGTTGAAATCCGGATATCTTAAAGGGAATTCTGGGAGTTGAAGACCAGGCAACTTAAAGGGAATTCTGGGAATTGAAGCCCGGGAATATTAAATCAAGGAATTCTGGGAACTGAAGTCGAGGCAACGAATCCCACCAACCCTCTGTTTCCAGGAGGTCAATGAGGGGAGGAGGACGAGTGTGCAAGTAGATGAGTGTGCAAACCCCAAGCCAACAGGCAGCCTGGAGGGGGACTTGCACAGACTGCGAAGGGCGCCCTGGAAACACCTGGAGGGCACCTGGTTGCAGAAGCCCAATCCCAGGGGGGGGGGGGAGGGGGGGGGGAGAGAGAGAGATAGAGAGAGAGACCAAGGGGGGGTGGGGAAGACTCACATCCTTCGCACCGTGTAGGGGGTCTCGTCCACCCACTTCCACACCTGCCCGTTGTACTTCAGGCCAATCCAAGCGTCATGGGGTTTGGTGACCCGTAACACAAATTGCTATGCCGAGAGAGAGAGAGAGGAGGGGGAGAAAACAACAGCAGAACAAGTATGAGCAGGACACCCAGGGTAGGGAGAGATTAACAGAGTGGGAAGGGACCTTGGAGGTCATCTAGTCCAACCCCCTTCCGCCCTCAAATACTGGAAGGCTGCTCTCCTGCCTCCCCTGGTCCTTTTGTTCCTTAAAATCAGATGAACAGAGTTGGAAGGGACCTTGTAGGTCATCTAGTCCAACCCCAAGCCCTCAACTATTGGAAGGCTGCTCTCCTGTCTCCCCTGGTCCTTTTGTTCATTAAAATCAGATGAAAGTCAGATGAACAGAGTTGGAAGGGACCTTGGAGGTCATCTAGTCCAACCCCCCCCCGCCCTCAAATACTGGAAGACAGCTCTCCTGTCTCCCCTGGTCCTTTTGTTCATTAAAATCAGATTAAAGTCAATTAACAGTCTCAGAAGGGACTTTGTAGGTCATCTAGTCCACCCCACCCCACCCCCGCCCTCAGATATTGGAAGGCGGCTCTCCTGCCTCCACCCTGGTCCTTCTTCTCTTCCCTAGACTAGCCAGGCCCAGCTCCTGCAACCGTTCATCGAATGTTTGAGCCTCCAGTCCTCTCATCATCCGGGTTGCTCTTCTCTGCACCTTTTTTCTAGAGTCTCAACATCCCGTTCATAAGTGTGGTGACCAAAACTGGATGCAGCTACTCCAGGGGTGGCCTTACGAAGGCTTTACACAGTGGTATTAGCACCCTCCCTTCATCTGGATTGTCCTCCCTCTGTCTCGGCCTTCCGCCTTAGCCTGTCCCCGCCATCTCCCTCTCCGACGAATGGGGACATCGAGGCACTGACCGATTCTAAGTAGCTGGTGATGATCACCAGGTGGGCATTCTTCTCTTCGCAGTCCTCTTTGGCTTCGGTCCAGGGCCTCTCCTGGGAGGAGAGCCAGTAGCAGCTCTGCGCGAAGGCGTGCCAGCCTTTGGGGCAGCATGCGCTCCCCGGCCCTTGGGGAAAGGATGGGGAACTCCGTTGCGGATGGGACCGGAAACCCCCCCCCATTTCCCGGGGCGGGGCAGACAGACGTTCATCCGCGATATCAGCAGTCCTTGGCTTACAGAGTTCGCTTAGTGGCCGCTCGAAGCGACGACGGCCAACGTTGCGCTTCGCCATGGGAATTTTGAGCTCGGTTGTGGTCGTCAGTTGGAAGGGACCTTGTAGGTCATCTAGACCAACCCCCACTCCCCCTGCCCAACCCCACACCATTTCTGACAGGTGGGCAGGCCTGTCTCTTGCTTGAAAGCCTCCAAGGGATGAAGCTTCTACAACCTCCATCACCAATGAGAGTCATCCTTAACAGAGTCGGTTGGAAGGGACCCTGGAGGTCATCTAGCCCAACCCCCCTCCTCCCAAGCGGGAGACCCTACACCATTTCTGACAGAGGGCAGCCCAGTCTCTTTGCTGCCTGTGCAATGAAGAGGACACTGGATTGGGAAGGTCCCACCCCACCCCACCCTCTCCACGGCTGGCACGCACACACACACACACACACACACACACACACACACACACACACACACACACACACACCAAAAACCAAGCTCACCTGTCCGCTTGTGTTTTATGTCTTCCAAATCACAGTTCAGTTTCTGGAAACTCCCTTGAAGTTTCTTGATCTGGTCCAGGAAATGGGACTTCACTGGAAGTGGAGAAAAGGGGAAGGGCTCCTGGTTGGGCTTAACTCCTGTCTCCTGAACAGGTGGGCTTTTCAACCCCTCCCTACACCCCCCCAATTTACCGTCCGTGACTTCTTCAGTGAGGTGTTTTACGGCGCGGTCGACCAAATTGATCATTTGGAAATGCTTGGTGTCTAGGAAAGAAGTCGACAAATCAGAGCGCTATTTCTCAACCCGATCGGCAGGCCATTTTAAGCCGCATGAACTTCCAGCGCCCAGAATAACCTATTCAGAATGGTTGGCTGAGGAATTCTGGGAGTTGAAGTCCACCCACCTCGGGTTAGAGCTGGGCTCTCCAAGCCTGGCCCCTTTAAGACTCGTGGACTTCAATTCCCAGAAATCCCCATTCAGCCATGATGAGAGAGTAAGCAGGGAGAAGGCAGAGGAAGGGATGACAAGAGAGGAAGCAGGCAGAA